GAAGCCAATCAGCTTGGCAGAATCCAACAATCCTATCAATAACACCCGTTTTTGGTAGGATTTCAGAAATAATCATCATTTAGTTTATTTTTAGTAATAAAGTTAGTCAATTTAGATTAGGAAACAAAATCAATTTTGATTTGATTAGGACTTATTTGTTTCCTTTATTATAGATAGTTTTTAGGTAGTTTTAAATTGTTTCCTTTTTTTAAGAATTCTGTTCTTATTAGGAGTAGACTTTGTTTTTCTATTTAAGAAGAATGATTGTAAACATCATGAAGCAAATCACTGTTATCAATAAAATTCTCTTTTATATTACTCCGTGGATTCGAGGTTGTCACTTCGTGGATTCGAAGATTGTTCTTTATGGATTCAGAGAGCACTCATTCGTGGATTCTGAAGTTTATCACTTTCGCGCTGCGTTAATTGGTATCAGAGACCTATTTCTACGATCTGGTGGCAAGCGACGAAGACTCTATTACCCTAACTTAGATTATGACTTGCGTAGACCGACTTGTGTTGGCAGTGGAGTGTCTGAACCAGGGATGAGTTCGAGATCGCGTTGATAGTCGCCAAAGACGTGATCTGATTCCGCCTGAAGAATTCAACTGCAACATTGATGAGTATGAAGCCTTGCGCCAAAATCATGGTCGTAGAGACTACCCAAGATGGGATATCTATGATATTGTAAATATGAGGATTGATTTACCGAGGATTGATTTACCGTCTTTCAATGGAAAACTAGATATAAAAGATTTTCTTAATTGGATTGATGAGGTGAAGAGATTTTCAGGTACTTGGGAATTGCAGAAGACCAAAAGGTTAAGTGAGTAGCCTACCGACTAAGGGTAAAGCAGCTTTTTAGTGGCAATCATTATGCGAAGATCGAGCTTGTCAACAGAAGCAAAGACTCCGATCATGGTATTCATCCCTACTGAAAGTCCTCCTAAGGTGCAAACACTCGTTATGCATGAGATTCATGATACTGATGGTGATATGATAAAGAAGATGAATATTATGCATGATATTCCCATAGAGATTGTGAGCGATATTGCACATATTGATGTTGTCCCAATAGAGGAAAAGAATAAAATAGTGAGGCATTGCTTAGTGGAGGGCCCAAAACAAAGGAGTGTGAGAGAAATCCTTCTATTGAATGATTTTGACAAGATTGAGATGAAACTACGGACACAAGAATATAAAAAGCAACAAGGAAATAATTTGAGGGAATTTTTCAAGTCATCTATTGATCCACATGCAGTCAGTTACATTAAAATTTAGAATAATGTGAAATTGATTCATTCAAAAGTTTGATTTAGAAGAAGCCCTAGCTGAGGAGGTAAAAGAACACATGGAAAAAATCAATGCTAAGTATAAGGTGGACGGTGATCGATGCAGAAGAAGAAAAGTGTTTATCAAGAAAGCTGATATTCAAACAAATACAAGCTCGGGGTCAAGTTTCTTTCAACAATAGGAGACTGATGTAAGATGCGTAACAATCAAATTCATGAAGAAGTGGGACATTCACGAGTTAGATGCAGATACGGATGAATTATTGACTGACTATATACAAACAAGCAAATCTTCCAATCCAAAAAGTGGATTCTAACATATTATATATGAAAATCGCCTATATTGACGAGACGGAGTCAATCAGCTTGGCAGAATCCCACAATCTCATCAATAACACACATTTTTAACATGACTTAAAAAATAATCAGCCTTTAGTTTATATTAGTGATAATATTAAGAGTCAATTTAGATTAGGAAACAAAATCAATTTTGATTTAATTAGGACTGATTTGTTTCCTTTATTATAGGTAGTCATTTAGGTAGTTTTAAATTATTTCTTTCTTTTAGGAATTCTGTTCTTATTAGGAGTAGACCTTGTTTTTTATTTAAAAAGAAGGATTGTAAATCTCATGAATCAGATCATTTTTATCAATAAAATTCTCTTTTATATTACTTCGTGAATTCGAGGTTGTCTCTTCGTGGATTTGAAGACTTTTCTTTGTGATTTCAGAGAGCACCCCTTGGTGGATTACGATGTTTATCATTTTCGCGCTGCATTAAAAATTCTCTCCTAGCATGCCAAGAGGATGTATGAAATCTTTATTCAACAAATCATGTCTCTTTGCAAATTCTGCCTCTTTGCATGCCAAAATGATGTATGAAAACTTCATTCAACCAATCAGGTCCTCAATTATGTTACATTATTATGTCATCTCAAACTTCTTATGCCTACTAATTCAATTGGAGGACCGCTAAAACTCAACTTAAACAATTGCTTTGTTCATCTCTTGCATTATTATGTCATCCCAAAGTTCTTATGACCACTAGGTTCAATTCGAAGACTGCTAAAATTCAACGTAAACAATCGCAGAACAATGGCACATGCACCTGTAGCCAACACAGCAATTCTTTACGCTTTTAGATGGTAGATTATAGGGCTACAATTCAATAATGATAAAGACAACTAATAAGAACAATTCAATAGATAAAAGGCAATACCCAAATGTAGGTGAAGATTAGATTCGTGAGATAAGTGCAAAGACTTGAGCTATTGCACTTAGGGGAAAAAAATAAGTGGAATTGTGTACAGGTGAAGCTTAAACTGTAATGATATAACACCTCGTAACAATAATTTGTTGCCTAATAGAGCTAAAAGAGAACAGGCTTTCTAGTGAAAACGAAGCAATAACAATATTAACAAATCCCACAAAAAATAGTGATGAATAAGCAATAACTGACTTGGTGTCAACAAATAGCAAAGAATAATTCTTACAAACATGCTACCAATAAGCACATAAGAGCACCTATTTGTCAATGTATGGAATCATATTCATGAAAATCACAACGGTCTAGGACCTCGATACAGCACCGTTCACTCTCACAACAGTTTCCATATTAGTTTTCGATTTTTTCTGGGTTATTGTATAGTTAGCAATGTAGGAGGAAAGCATCTACATTCATTAAAAAACTTTCATATTACATGAGACATGTTTCCGATAGGAATTGGTTGATCTGGTTCTGGCTCTGGTGGATTCAAATGAGCAAATATTCATTTTGGGTTTACCTGGATCAGATAGAGTTCGTATTGACGTACTTTAGTAACTCCAGTAGCTCATCCTTTTTCCCAATATATGACTCTTTCACCTGGTTCAACAATGCTTCCTCTCGATGCATATCTTCAACAATTCGTTCCTTCTTCCAGTTCAAAAGCCTGATTTGCTCCTCAATCTCACTTTCTTTCTCTGGTGGACTAGAATGTCTAGAACTGACTGGAAATCTGACCTTCACTTCATTCCTAAGTCATAAGCCAAAATACTAAATATTTCAAGAATTATAACTTTGTGAACTTAAAACAATGATGTGATAGAATGGTAAAAATCCTACAAAGAGAGAACAATAGAAAAATAGTGTTTCAGTGCATTCTGCTTAACTGGAGTAATAGCAAGTTTGTTGCATAAAACTATACCACTATAGTGCATTTTGCTAAGAAATAGAGAATGAAGTTTATATAATTCTTGCATTATTTTCAATAACTCCCCATAATGGGACTCCATTTTTAATTTTAATTTTCTGGCATATGACTGTTAAGGAAATAACATTAAGCTGTTGAGGAAAAGAATATGTGAATTATAACTTGAATCCTAGATGGTTTAAATGTTCTGTTTTTATCCTCCTAATCTGTATTTATCACAATTAAATGGTTGGGGAAAATAGATGACAAAAATGTTAGGTACCAAACAAACGAGTCCTTAGTTACTAATAACATGGTGCTTACCTGCCGCCAAGCAAGAACAAACCATTACTTCTCATAATGCCCCCATCTAAGGAGATAGCTCCATCATTTATACAAGGCAAAGCATCTAGCATCTGGCCTCTTGTTTCATATACTTGCACACGAGAAAACAAGCTATAAAACAAGGTTTCTCTAAGGCCATGGCCACTGCTCGTGAGACAAGATAAGTACATAGAGTCAATACTGATCATATTTACAGCAAAGCCACAAAATCCAGGTGGGCAGTTCCCATTCGATAACCTGGGCTTCAGTAGAGCTAGTCTCTTTTCTGGATCTTCTGGTAATAGTTCACCGATATATGGTCTGTAAATGTGAAACATTCGAAATGTAATTATTTTTATGAACACAAATTTACAAACAGTGGTATTATGAAAAGACACAATATATACATATTTCTGGAACTAAATTAGAAGATGGTACAACCTTAAATGCTCAAGACAAATCACACGAAATCTCCCATCCACAAGCCTGCCAATAGATAGTCCAAGTCCATGAAGACCAGAACTCTTGTCAATCATTCCCTCTTTGTCATACCTCTCAAGGGCTTTAACACCTTCATATGTCTTGCAAACAATAGCCAGCATAGTTTCTAATCCCAAGAATTCTGAGAGAAGCCTGATAAAAAAACGCTATATGTCATAAGACACTATAAATCGTAAGAAATAGAAGGTTGAAGTTAAACAACAATGGAAAATGATAGTTTAACCTATCAAACAACATAAAGAGATGACAAAGATGAAAAACTTGAGAATTAACCTGCTAAAGTTGTCATCATTTGCTTTTCCAAGTGTGGATACAACACCGAGGACATCCTTGGTCACTGGTAACTTAGATGCTTGAGAGCCATGATGAACTTTAAGCTGGCAAATTACACCAGCTGCTGTATTCTCCAACAGTAGAATCTGTTCAGTTGTCTGTTTCTCAGTATTTACAATAGAAACATTGTTGCGTTTCTCCTCTGCTTCTCTTGATGCATGATGTTTTCCAAGATCAACTGATCAAATTCTAGCTTTAGTACAAGAAACAAACTGGTTCTGTATATGCAGAATGTGTCCAATATAAAAAAGTATGAAAGACTGTACATAAATCTTATATGCAAAGGACTTTTCATATTTTACTATACATATCACCATACCACGTTCGCATCATGGTGAAGGAGATAGCAAATGCCAGATCGACTGAATTATGAATGCTTAAATGAATCACAGTGGCACAATCAGTAGAAGAGGGACAGAACCATGAACTTGACCTTGCATATCAAGGATGGAATCATCAACTTTGTTTATCTGTGTCTTGAGAAACTTCATGTTGTCTTCGTGATGCTTGACTTTTAATGCCAGCTTCTGTATATCATCATTCAGTTTCTGCTGAGAAAATAAAGCATAAGTTAACATATTCAACATTTCAAGAGTTTTGGAAAAACCTTATAGTGACAAATTTCTTTCCTAAATAATGCCAAAGTCCAATTCGTTGTCTCGCAACATAAAATGGCGAAAACTTCGGACATGCCCACCTGAGTATGACTCTGTAACATTTTCATGCTAAGGAGTTTTCCGTCACACATTTCACTATCTGGCAATGTAGAGAGACCACTCGGTTCGCTCCTCAAAAACTGACAATTCTGGGAAACAAAACACCTTGACATGAGGATGCATGCCAGCAAATATTTGCAGAGTTAAAAAAATTAACACAAGGAAACAAAAGGAAGAAGAAGAAAGAACAAATACTCATATGCATTAACTAGAAGCATGTTGTTGAGATCTGCAACTCAAAAGTGTCATCACATGCCAATGAAAAAATTTTCAAGAAATACACACACACACGTGTTTTTGTGTTTGGGGAAATAATAGGTAAGAGATGGCAACTCATTTTGTTAAATGAGCTACCAAGATATGGTCATGCGGTGAGGCCCACCTTGCTAGTCACATCAAAAGGTGTGGACCTCACCACTATCTCTTGATAGCTCATATATATATATATATATATATATATTATATATATATATATATTATATATATATATATATATATATATAGAGTATGTGTGTACATATATCACATATATATGTACATATATATATGTAACGTGTGTGTATGAGTAAGGTTACAATACATCCAAGGTGTAACTTAGTTACACCAACCTGTAAAAATACATGTTTGAGCATTGATATTAATGATCTACACCGTTCATTGTGATCTATGCATTAAAAACTTCATAGAGATAAAAAAATCACATAGATTAAATGTTTCTAGTTTATATATCTAATGACCCAAAAATGAATAGTTTGTATCAATCTCAAATGTTACTTATTTTGAGTTGCGTGATTTATAAGATAGAAAAGTCTATTTTGAGTTGCGTGATTTATAAGATAGAAAAGTCTAACCCACATGATTTTGGTCCACTTAGATATGATGACATGTAGATAATAACAAAACGCTCAGATTTACAATATAGATGGTCAAACATGTATTTTTACAAATAGGTGTAACTTCATTACACCCTGGATGTATTGTAACCTTACCCTATATATGTGTGTGCATTACCTCAACACGGTAGAAAAGGTCCTGTACCCGTGTCCAGCACATATTGGGTGTGGATCTGCACCCAAATGGCATGGACACGTTTGGTTAACATTTTAGCCCACGTGAGAGCCTAATAAAGCCAAAAGTGGGGTTAATTTAGCAAGCGGGTTCAAATTTTCAGACCAAATAACGCATGTTGAATCCAATAACCCAAATCCAATATCCCCGATCCCTATATTCTTAGACCAAGGCGTCTCCAAAACCCACAAAGAAGCCATATCTGCTATTTGGTGCTAAATGATAGTCAGATCAACTTGACAAATGTTCATTGACATTTGAATTTAGAGATAGTGATAAGGAAGAACATGGGTTCAAAATAAGGTTGAAAAGGAAGAGTTTGGTCACTAAAAAGAACTTGAAGAGTTGTTGTTGGTTCAAGATAAAAAGGATGGGAGAGAGAAGAATGCGCTTCGTTAGTTTTTCTTCTTATGGTGATAGTGGAGAGTGACATCACTATTGCTGTCACCAAGCACTAAGGAATATGTGATTGTAGTTTGGCTTGAAATTAGAATAGAAATTGTGGTAGAGGGTTTTCCTAGTTTTAGATTTAATTAGTAATATCTGATAGGATTTTGATTTAAGTATTTAAGTTAAGCGTAAATGACTTTGAATGCTTGTATATTCTTATATAGATTTTTTTTGGGTTTCTAATCATTGATTGAAGTGTTAACAATATGGAGGAACTTAGTACCAAGCACAAGTTTTTCTGCTTGGTTGAAAAACTTGGTAGTAACGTGGTTCATTTTCATCCACTCATTCAAATGGAGGACCACATTCACATGGGTTGGAAAGTAAATGAGAATGAAATACCTCACCAAGGTTATCGATAGCGGATAGCGTCGCATAGCGGTGAGACATCGCTAAGGCTATTTGGGGCTATTGCGGCAAAAAAAAAACGCAAAGTCAAATAACGGTCTAATTTAGATATGTATAAATATTAAAAATAAAAAAATTAAAGAAAATTATAAAAAATCTAAAAGTGCATTTGATGATTTAAAGAGATCCTAAACATAAAATAGATATGTAACCGTCACATAACACCAAAGACGATTGGATGAGTCAAAGAGTTGTTGTCTTCGAGAAAATGAGCTAAGCGGTGAGAGGACTGCACTAGGAGGAGCTCACGGCAAGAGGATGTGAGAGGAAGTGCTGAGAGAGGTGCCAGAGGCTATGAGAGGCGGCTGGAGTACGAGGGAAATTAGGAGAGGCGATGGGATGTAGTGGTTGCGGGTCGGGTTTAATTTTAAAAAAATAAACCTCAAACCGCTTTTAAATAGCGGTCAAAAAGCGAATTTTGTCTGCAATCGCCCGCTATTTACTGCTATGGCGCTATTGGCCGATTTTGCAAGCGAAAAACGCATATTTCGCAATATGTCACCATTATTGGGCGATAGCTTAGTGGGAAGAGACCGTTAACGCTATTCACGCAGCTATTGCGGGGCTATTTACCGCTATTTATAACAGCGTACCTCACTATCAAGCACAAAATTTGTGTTTGATACTAAGTTCCTACATCTCTTTATATATATACGTCGTGTCCCTGTACCCTAACTTTTCCAAATTTTTCGTGTCCCGTACCTACACCCGTACTCGTATCCATGCAACCTAGAGAAAGAGAGAGGGAGAGATAAGTTGGATAACCTTGGTACTAAGGACAAAATTGATCCTTGGTAGTGAGGTGGTCAAAGCTTAGCCACTCATCTTAGTGGTCCCCACTTGAAAACGGTCCTCTCCAACAACTGTGCAAGTGATCCCTTTTGAATGTATGAATGAGAATGAGTCACCTCACTACTAAGAACTAAAAATGATCCTTGTTACAAAGATTATACACACACACGCACAAGGTTTTAAGTGTCGGATATCAGAGAAATATCAGATGGCCTAAATTCATATCAAATTGTGGATATTGGGGAAATATCAAGGATATGTGGTAAATATCGGAATGTCATAATGGATGTTTGCATATATAGTATAATGCACTAAAATGTAATCTTAACATATGTAATGAAAAATCTAAGAATACAAAATGTACATAATATATGTTTAGGAACACTAATCACCCTTGTAAAACAAGCAAAAGTATAAATCAACGTTAGAACATTTGGTTATTTTTTCAAGCCAAAATGTCATTTGATATAATGGGAAAATCATGATATCTCGCCCAAAAATTACCAAACACGATATATTATTTTGCGACAAGCCATATAGAAAGATATATGGGTCCACATATTGGCTGATATATCGGGGATACATCGCCCAAAATAGCCAAAAAGCAATAAAGAATATTTAGAGACTATATCGCTTGTGGCAAGCCCTGTAAAAGGATAGATCAATGAATATATCGTGGTCCCACGTCCGGGGAAATATTGGAAAACAAATGAATATCATAATTATATGATATATTTATATTAATATAATATATATATTAATATATATTATAATATATATTATAATATTAATATTATATTATAAAATGCCCACAACCAACCATAAACCTGTTTTTTGCAAAATGGGCGCGCCAACTCACTGTCATGTGAGCCCCACACTAGTATGACTGGCAAGGGGCTCACATGGCATCGACTTGGCAATCCATTTTGTAAAATGGACTATCAGCTCATATATATTTTTTCAACATACATGTATATATGAGAAAAATATAGAAACTCCGTATCAAGCACAAATTTTGTGCTTGGTAGGTGAAATGTCCCATTGTCATCCACTCTTCAACCCATATGAATGTGATCCTTCATTTGAATGAGTGGATAGGAATGAACCATTTCACTATCAAGCATCAAACCTTGTGCTTGGCACTAAGTTCCTACATTTCTCTATATATGTGTGTGTATGAGTACGGTTACAATACATCCAAGGTGTAACTTAGTTACACCAACCTGTAAAAGTAAATATTTGACTATAAAAATTAATGACCCACAACGGTCATTATGATACATGCATCCAAAACTTCATAGAGACCAAAAATCAAATATTTCTAATTTACACATCTAATAACCTAGAAATGAATAGTCTGTAACTGTCCAAAATGTCATTTATTTTGAATGCTTGATTTATAAGATAGAATATTCCAAACTACATGATTTTCGATCCACATACATTTAATGACATGTAGACTATAATGAGAAGTTCGCATTTACAAAATAAATGAGCAATGATGCATTTTTATAGATGTAACCTAGTTACCTTCTACGTGTATTTTTTTTTTTTTGTGTGTGTGTGTATATATATTAAATTTACTATTTCCGGACCCAAAAAAAGGGTAAAGGTACTCTAATGTAAGAGGCAAGATTCCTTTAAATATCAAAATTATGCACTCCACTGAATTAGCAAGTTTCTGTATTAAGCTTTCAACCATCTGAAATCCACATTGTCTAGCCCCCCACCACCCACCAGCCCCACCAAAAAAAAGGAAAGAAAAGAAACCACCATCAAAGTCTGGTAAAAAAAACTTTTGCAATTGTAATCCATTGGTCGTCAGCCATCATGGTAAAAGACCTCAACAATGACAATGATACCATTAATATTTGAGACCCTGCACTCAATAACATTTCACATGTCATGCTTCTATGATCGTTTTTATCTATTAGGGTTCTTTCTTTTAATTTAATAATCAACCATTTCTAACCAATTTAATGTTTTCATATCCATTCAACATACTAATTATAACATTCTCAAAAATGTTGCAAAGAACAAGAAGAAGAAATCAAACCAACAAGAAAAAATCGCGTATTAACCAAATATAACAAACATAAACTAAGCATGAAAATTAATAGAAATAATTCAAAATAATTACTGAAGTATTTAGAAATTCAAGAGTTTAGAGAGTGGGTAGAACCTAAAGACAACCGTTGCTGCCCGACGCCTCTGCTATCGTAGGAAATGGGGGAAATGAAGGGCGTCTTTCTTTTGTTCCTTGATTGAGTCTGATTTCACGTGATTTTCATGTGAAAACTCTTTGGTCATTAATTGATGAACGATCTGGTTTCACCAAAAGTTGTATGCCGCCCTAAAAAATTTGGATTTC